AACCCTAAATCCTAAACCCCAATCAGTTGCTTCGGTTGAGGCTTGATAGGCAGACATGTAGAGCTTGGGCCTTAGGATTCAAGGATTGGAGAGGTGGGGTTGATGGTTGTGGGCTTAGGGGTTTAGGGTTTAGGGCTTAGGGTTTAGGGGTTTAGGGTCTAGGGTTTAGGGCTTAGGGTTTAGGGTTTAGGGCTTAGGGTTTAGGGTTAAGGGGTTGAACCTTCTTAGTTCACCTAGCCCTCATTTCTGGGTTCAGGACCATCATTTCAGCATGTAGTCCATTGACACCTTGACTGCATGGGGCTTCTCCCTTCCTGAGAACCCTCGAACCTTAAACCCTTCATGCAGAAGCCTGCAGGAGTTGCCTATGTTTTTCCCAGAAAACAACTCAAAACCTTCAAATAAAAAGTAGAACATGCACCCCAAGCCCGAGTCTGCTTCAAGAACAATGGCCCCTACTTTCAACCATCAGATTCAACGGCCGGGAGATCGCAACTGGTTCCTGCCTGGCTTTCGCGCCGAGGAACAAGACGGGAAGCAATAACCAGGCGATCAAAAGGTATTCTGAAACTTTGCTTTCGGAAAGACTGGATTCCCTTCCCCCTAGGAAGGACTCTGCTAGTTTTAGCTCTGTGTTGGGGACCCGTTGATGGAAATCCCCGGGTGGGCGTGTTTGCATATTGTCGAAAACAGAAGCAATCACGGTCAGGGCTTCTACTTTGAAGCAGGGAGCTTTTCGGACCTTTTTTGCAGACCTTTTAGCCTACAACGCAATACTTTCCAGTGGGGTCCTCGGTGCAACTTAAACTTAGTTCCCACATGCTCCAAAGTCTTTCAAACCCGACAGGCAACGCAGGAAGACTGGCAAGTGCCTGGTGAGGATGATTTCCTACAGCTGGAGCCATGGGCCGTGCCGTGCAGCAACCAATGGATGAAGCTCGGGTGCCGGGTTGGACGTGAAGAGTGTTGGGCTTAGGCATTTTGAATCTCTACCGTTCTAGATTTGGGGTTTCGAGTTTGTATAGGAATCAGGCAACTGGAGAAGAGTCGCAGGGATTGGGGCAATAACTGTTCAGGGGTTAGTGCTTGCGGGTTGCTCAGTGGTCGGAATCAGTAGTCAAAACGTGCATGGCATGACCATAGCTGGTAGCAGATATGTGTACAATACTTACAGCCAGAATGACAAGGCTTCCATGCAGCATGTGAGGAAAGACAACTGGAACAAGTGGCAGGGCTATTCGTTCTACACTTCAGATGCCTTCATCGAAAAGTGTGTCACCATCACGTTCGCGCTGAACATGCAGCCGGTTGCTGGGTTGTCATGGTAGCATGTTGAAGCACACGTCTTTCAGTGTCATTTCAGGCCGAGGACATGGCAAGAATAGTCTGAAATGGCTTCAGGCGTCAAGGCTACAGGATATTTGGATGCGAAGAGTCCGAATCAGCAACATATTAGTTCCAGTGATGTCAAGGCTGATAGCAGTGAAGATTTGCTTTCTGGTCCTGGAAGATGCGTGCAAATTCAGGCTTCATGCTCCAGAGGAGATTTTGAACCACACTGAGGGTTGTAGCTCATAAGCTTGCCTCCGGAAGACTATCCCTGTACAGTCCTGGTATAGTTATAGCAATGATGCTATGCCCCGTGGCAGGACCCCATTGGTTAGCCTGAGCCTGTGCTCCACCATTCAGGACAGATAAAAGCGGGTTCTTTCAGCAGCAAGACTTCCTAAGCTTTCCGAAGGAGTACCCTTTTCTGATGTGATTCATTTTTGTTCCTTGATTTTGCATCACGATAGCTTTGGATACTTTTAGAAAGCATAGGTGGTGGCGTTTGTGGGCGGCATCCAATTCGACTTGCTGCCTGGGCCGTTGGCTGAAGTGGCCACGCAGGCCCATGAACTTTGCTTGTGGGGGACTCGACCTCTTGTCGGATTTTGCAGAAATTCAGGGGAGAATCCATACCGAAAAGATGTATATTTGGGGACTGTGAAGACCCGCCCGCCAGTGTTATCCCGGTCAGCTCGTACGGCCTGCAACCGGTGCACGCTCGCTTTGTTGGCTCGGTAACCCCTGCGTCACATCCTAAATCCACTACTTGTATGTTCATGGGACTTAGTAACTACTTATAACTGGGCTTATAACCCTACTTACAATTGGGGTCAAGTCCAATTAGGAGGGTTATATGTGGGGTTATAAGCCCAGTTATGAGTAGTTACTAAGTCCCATGAACCTCCAAGTAGACCCTGGCAGCTCAAACCTATCCAGCCCCCACCCAAATTTCTCCAGTCCTGCATAATGAGCCCTAAAAGCGAAATTCCGAAATCCAAAACACTACAGGGAAAATCCCTGAAACCGTGAACCCCCAAAGTCCCAAAAGCTCCCAGCACGAAGCACAGATCCGCAACCCCTATTCCCCTGCTGGCCCTGAGTAGGGAAGGGCGAGAAAACATAGGGATTATTCAAAGCCCTAACCCTGGCAGCCCGAAAGCCTACAGGACTAAACTCGGAAGTCCCAAGCCCTGAAACCTTAAACCCTTAACCTGCATAAACCCTCGAAGCCCTCACAAACCGCAAAGCCTGAAACTCCAAGAACCCGAAACCCTGAAGCGCTACGCTTTAAGGTATTCAATCATAAAGCCCTAAGGCCTAAAGCTCAAATCACGAAGCGTTACAGTTACACCCTAAACTCCCTGAACTCGAAGCGAAGCCCCAAATCCTAAAATGCTAAACCCTACAGTACAACCCTAAACCCTCAAACCCTAAAAACCTAAAACCCTAAAACCCTAAAATCCCCAAACCCCTAAAACCCTAAAACCCTAAACCGGCGCAGACCGCAGGTCTGCTGGCCTCGTCATCAGCCAGGCGGGCTGGACCTCAGCGTTCTTCGCTCGGAGATCAAGTCGCATCCACGAAGATGGCAAAGCGTTTGGGGTTTTGGGGGTTTGGGGTTGTGGGGTTTTGGGGTTTAGCTTAGGGTTCGGGGGTTGGGATTCTTTCATTCGGGGATGTGGTTTAAAGTGGGACAGGCCAGCACAATCTGGGGTCTAGGTGTGGACAGACTCAGGGGTTTGTGTTTCAGGCTGTCAGGCCTTAGGCCTAAGGGTTTTGAACTACGGGCTTCTGTTGTTGGGGCAGGGCCAAAGGTGAAGCCTTCCAAGGTCCGAGAGTTTGGAGTATTTTTATGTTTATGTTGGCTATGCCTCTTGGAGGTCCTGGAAACCACGATATGAACCATGGGTAAAGATTTCAAGAGCATCAGAAGTACAGCTGGGCTTGATTTTAGGATTATGTCAAATTTTCCGAAGCTAGCTTCTGATAGTGCTTCAACTCTGCTGTTGTCACGACTATCACTTTTATTACTGAGTACGAAAGCCACCTGCACCAACAACTTGTGACTTGCTAGTGGCTACTGTCATCATCAGGTCCAACGGGGTCCTCCTCTTCAGCCGCACACTGCGCCTCTCGAAGCGCTTTGGTAAAGACACGCACTTCACGGCCGAGAATGTTACTTGGCTAGGGATTCCTGCTGAAGTCTGCGGGTTTGAGTTTCCGGTACTTTTAACGCTCTTGGTCGCTAGCAAGCAGACTTTGCTAGATGTTTATTCATTTGCCAGCACACAGACACACAGAGGATGCAACACGTTCCTCCAAAAGTTCCCTTGTTCCCGGCACAAGAAATGGAGTCCCCCTTCGAACCCATAGGGAGAGCCTTCAGGAAGTGCCCTGAAAGTCTGAAAGCTTGCAAGCCTATACTCCCCAAGACGTTTTTGAGGCAAAAGGCCACTCCCTTTCAAGGAGTCAGTAGAAAGAGAAGGTTCGTAGAAGGGCTTTGGGCTTGTGGGTCTCCATCTGCCTTTGCAAGCCTTCACCTTATCTTTTTTGGGGTTCGCAGGCCTTCGTGTCAAGAGGCATTGGGGCCTCGCAGAGGGTTCGTAATTTGCCGTCCCCATGCACGCCTTCGCGTGCCCTTGTGCGAGGTCGAGGTCGCTAACCTTCTGGAGAGAAAATGGAAACTACTATAGTATATAATGGAAAAGAAAATGGAAACTGCTATAGTATATTGGGGTTATAATGGGGTAATATTGGGATAATGGAAAATAAAATGGAAACTGCTATAGTATATCGGGGTTATAATGGGGTTATTTTTTCTTGGGACCAGGATTGCAGGGTCT